AGCTCCATTAAAATTAATACCGTCGCGCTAATTAAAACCTGTGAGCGAACGAGACGAGTTAAAGCGTGAGTCGACTAATTTTAACGCCGAAGATATAATATAGCCGGTGGAGTTATTTTCACGAAGCGCGCGTCTGCCTGCTCGTCGGCTTCCGCCGCTTCTGCTTTAAATGACTCATATTTATTCTCCCCTCGGCTCCGAGCACTCGTCAAATATACACCTTTACCTCTCATGATACATCTTGGCTCTTTAATTTTCTCGCGCGCTGCGAGTACACGTTCGTTTGGCGCGCGAGTGGAATGTTATAGGTCACCCTCTGCCGTAAGGAGGACATTTTTTTTCTCCGGCTGTACCGGAGCTAAGAGCACCCTTTCCGTCGCGCCGCTATTAATCTGCCCTCCCCGTAGCAGACAAATTGACTGCTTCGACCGACTTTTGTCTTCCGATGGAGCGTATTACGAGCACCTCGGATTCCGCGATATTAAACGCTCAACGAGCGACTATAAATCTACCCCTTCGATTGAACGGTGCGACAACGCAAGATACGTGAGACACTCCGTCCCTCCGAGTTAACTCTATCGCTATACGCGAATCGATGAAAAAACAAAAAAATACATTCGCCGCTCGGTTTCTCGTTTTTCACAGGAATCTCACTCACTACCGTCGATCTGTCTATATTATTTCGCGTCCGTTGCCCGTTTGTCTATAAAGCGAGTATCGCGCGTCCATAGATCGCGGCGAGTCTATTGACGATACATCGATCAAGTTGGAATCAGAATTTCGGACGTACAATCAATATATAGAGATATATTATTCTACTGCTAAGAAAAGCGATTGCGCGGTTTACTTTCCTTTTTTTAAGTAATGATTATCTTTGACAAAATATATTTTCTTAAAAAAAATAAATTTTTAAATATATTGATCACGAAATTTAGAGAATTTTAATTATCATGCACTCAAAACAAGAATTTATTTTTTTTACGAGAATATTATAAAACTTTATAGAAAAAAAGACTGATTTTATATAGTAAGCAAATTAAATTTTTGTTTTTATTTAACCCGTAACAGATACCATGCCTTTTTAATCAAATTACGGGTACCATGGGGTCCAGCTAACCCCAATAAATTTTTGTCATTTTTAACATGATAATAAAAGCTAGCAAGAAAAACGCTTTATAGTTCGAAAATAATAATTTACTAGTATTATATTATAACTAGACATTTATAATAACAGTCTCAGTTTTTCAGTACTCTAAAAGAAAACATAAACTGAATATAAAATAACTAAACTGAATAAATAAACTGAATATAAAATGAATACAATGTGGACAGTGTCGAAATAAAATACACTGAAAGACAAATAATCGGAAAAAGAAAAAAATTTGTTTTAATCTAAGTCTACAAATTATAGATTATATAAAAAAATATAAACAAGTATTGTTAAATTAAATACAATATTAAAATCGTAGAGGGTTTTTAGATTGTTACAGATAGTGCTTGCACATTTGGTGTATACTGGTTCATTGCATCTAACATATACTTCTTTGGACTTCATATCTTTACTTCTAGGACATTTATTATATCTTACTCTGGATGATAAAATAATTTTAGATCTTTCAGTTTCTTCAATTTTTAAAATAGATTAAATTATTAAACGCAATGGCTTATGAATATATTGAGTTGTAGAAAAGAATATATTGAGTTGTCTCTTAAGTTTAGGTTCTACTAACTGAAAGGCAAAAGCTTTTACACTTTTCCGTGAAGAATGAATCATATTGAGCTGAAGATTAAGAAAATTATTTTCATAAAAATAATATTAACGGTACCATGGGGTCACTGTGACCCCAGACGAAAAACAAATGCATATAATTCACAGCTACTTACAAATAACTCGATGATCTTTTCTTCCGTCACACTGAAAACTGTTACTCGAAAGATACTGAAGATATTAGCGCCATACAGTGGATAGTTTAGGAATTATCATAAAAATAAAATTAGTTGGGGTCTCTGGAATCCCATAGTACCTGTTACGGGTTAATAATAACTCAAACTACTCGGCGTTGCCCGAATTATCACAAGTTGTCAAAGGAATAAAATTCAGGGGGAAGGGAAATATCCACATTTCACTGTGACCTATATTTTTTAGCAGACTCCTAGAGAATAACTATGCAAAATTTGATCAAAGGGTCAAAGGATTATAGGAGTTTATAGAGAACACACATATAGACAGACAGACGGCCATTCCATATTATATATATGAATTCTCGATTGAAGTGCTAAATTTATTCAGAACATATTTTGAACAGATTTGATCTCTACGATGAACTGTGATAGATTTGCGAATATCTAAACTTATGAAATACTTATGAAACATTTACTTGCATATAGTATGTATTTTCTTGTATGTACGCACGCACAGGATGTAATATCTATTTTCGCTTCGACGAGGAATAGAATAGAGCTTCTTAGTAATAGCGATTATATTACAGCGTAATAGCGTTTCTCGACGACGCTAATCAGTTCAGATTCAGCCGATCTTTGATGCAATACTCGAGCACTGAGACCACGGAGGAGACTTCTGCGGCATTGCGATGGTACATCGCAGCGGCGCTCGATCAATTTATTAAAAATTGCGCAGATCTATATATGAATATGTATGCATAACAGCGCGGAGCATATCTGAGAAACCTCCACGCGAAACTATGCGGTCTCCAGAGAGCGGCAATACGACTGCCAGAGATGAAAAAATGTTTTCCGCTGGCGTAGATCGTAGTTATAGAGGGAAAGAAATACGGTTGTGTAAAATGTGACGTGCAAATATACAGAAACATGGCGATGTAGACACAATCACGACGCGTTTTAATATCGTCGCGCATAATATCGCTGTTTCAGCGCATTTTGTGAGAATGCATGGGCCACGTAGTGACATCGGCCATGGCGAACGCGAAAGTACGGACGGCACATTGTCTTGCGAGTATTTGGTAGTTTCGCGTCGGCAAGCTCAAGAGGTCTCGCAGCTTATGCGACGTAAGAGGATTTATCCGCGACGTTATTTTCGCCCACATCGCGCTCTGGATCACAGTTACGGCTTTTTCTCTCTTTCTCTCTCTCTCCCGTGAGGGCGAGATGGAAAATGCTTAATAACTCACACCGACGTTACTGTTCGCAAAGTTGTTACGCATAAATCACGCAACTCGCACACGAAATAAATGGAATAAACGGATCTGGCCTCAGGGGTGGATTCGAGCTCGATACGTACTCGGAGTCGTGAGAAGCACTCTCTTTTTCCTCCTCTTTTTTCACTTTTTGCTTTTGTTCACATCTTTTAGTTTTTTTTTTAAGTGGAGTCTCTCACGAACGGGTAACGTTAAACATTCCTCGCGATTTATTCGACCTTCGTGTCAAGTGAACTTTTGGCAAGTACGCATGATACGTTCATCCAGTCTGTGCCAAAGGAATAAAGCTCGCAGCGCTCTGGATTACTCAAAGTGAATAATTCCCTTTGCCAAAATCAGAAAAACGCCGGTGCGTCGGTGCGTTACTTCGGGAAAGCTTTAATTTATACCTTTGAATCGGTGCCAAGTGTAAAGCGGGGCGCTGGCCGTTGAGCCAACAAAATGCTACGTTACTCCTTAGAATACCGCGAAATATCAGATTCATGAAAATGTCACGCGAAGTGTCCAGAGCGCCAAGGCGATTGTTATTCCACACGTAACGTTACTCCGCTAATATCTCCTTCAGTTACAATTGCATGGCTCCTGTTCGCCGCGACATTACTCTATTTGCAGTAACTACAAAAGCAACAGCCGCCGTTTATTCCTAGTTTATTCATACAGAGATATGGATTTGCATATCAGCGATAATGCAAATACCAACAGCGATAATGCGAACCAACAACTAAGTGATTTTATCGTTATATCGATTTTAACATTATGCATATTTCGTAATTACAATAAAGAAGTACTTTATTTAAGCTTCAACGAGCAAAACTGTGCAATTTTTCAAGCCGAAGAAATATTTTTTTTTTTAGCAGCAAGCAAGCAGTTGGTATTTTCTACAATATTGAGTTGGTAACAGTCGTCTTCGAAGTATTTGTATGTTTCCAAGTAATTGTTTAATAGCTCTAATGAGTTTAATAAGGAAACATGGAAATGTTTCTCATAAGATTTTCATGAGTAGCAAATAAAAATAAGAGATATATTTTTTACTCTATCGGACACATTTAAAGATTAAGAAAATCTCCTAAGGGAAATTTGTAAAATTTGCATTTGTAAAATTAATGGTAAATGAATATCTTTAAAACCTTGAGATATATGAGAAAAAGTGTTTTAAACGCAGATTTTACATTATATTTAATATTCTTTATAACCGCATAATAAATAATAAATAAGCTAATATTATACAATGCAACTTTATGATTACGTGTTTTTTGTTAACATTCTAGGTTGAAATATACTTTTTGAAAAAAATATTTTTTTCTATCTCTTGTAGTTTTCATTATATTTCCTTCGAAAAAAACTGATTTTCTTCAAAGAAATATTTCACCCCCTAAACTTGCGAAAGGGCACATATAATAAAAAAACGTATCTGTTATTTTTATCTAAAGTACAACATATTACAAGTTCATAAAAATCGGAGGCGGACATTTGTGTGAGTTTCCTTGTAAGATAGAAAATAAGGACGAATCGTCAAAAAGCCGCGCATGTACGAGGGCGAGAGATTTCAACTTCGATGTAAACGAAAATATTTCTCGAAAGTGGAAAGTTGGATTTCGCTTCTCTCGAAGCCGCACGATCGTCTTGTAACAAATCCGGACTTAAGATTCCACCTTTCCATCCGTTTGACACCTCTTCGACGTAAGAACATCGACGCTGATAAGAGTAACCCGCGACAGATCGCGGCCGTGTGCCGGCGTCGATTTGCGCCCCACGGTGCTTCTTCGTCCGCACCCTCTCGCTCGGGGGTGCGTTCAGTCGGCTTCGAGCCGCGAGTGGGGTAAGTTGCGTCGCGCGCCGGCTCGTCTGGCCCTTCGCTTAGCGGACGGACACCCAACGCCACCCCGCGTACATCACTCATTCTCGTTCATCGTTGAAACGCAAACAACCACTGACGACGATCGGGCGCATCGTCGCGCGCCGATTTCACCGGCGCGGTGCGTTCGCTCGCTCGGCGCGGGTGAATGCATTGTGAATGCACCACGAGCGCGTTTCGTGATCCATCTGGTCGATTTTGCACTGGTTCTTTCACGGGGGTCTCGCCCCCGACTTATGACGACAACGACGACGACGACGACGACCAGGGGAAGGAAACGACACGGTTGGTGGAGTCGCGCGTCGCATGTGAACGCCAGTGGGAACCTTCGTCATGCTGAGGTGAGTCCTCGTTCTGTCGTTTCCCACTCGATCTACTTCTCGTCACGACTGTGACGCATTTTCTTATGTAACGCTGTGTCTTTTGAGATAGGAGCGATTCGCTCTTACCGAATTTCGCGACTACGATCGGGAATCTCTAATCGGGTTGACAGTTGCAGGCTGTTAATTCAGATTTCGCGCGTCTCTTCCCTCATTCACTTTAATCGATATCTTAATCAAATTGAGATTAAATTTTTTTTATAAAAATAATGTTCAGATAGTAATAGTTTGTATGTTCTAAAAGATTGGAGTTTGAGATTCTTGATAAATTAAATTACAGAAGTGCAATTGAGTGAGAGAACTCTCAATACTCTTTATTTAATTATTAGTGCATTTTAATAGTTCAGTGCACTCAATAGTTCTTACTTATTCGTTGGTATTCTTTTCTAGAAGTTTTATATTCGATATGAGTACACTACACGAAATTATGTTGTTACATTTAGAAAGCAGGAATTATCCGATTTCTCCAGACAAATGCTAGTACGGAACTTGCTTGGATTACTAAGCTGCAAGAACGAAACATGAGAAGGATTTCAAGAGGAAATTCAACATTCAAAAAGTTACGAGGAAATTTGTCAACCAGCGGCTGGCTATTGACCTTATTTTGCAAGAAAGTAGTTGATTCAAGTTTTAAAGTCCCGTTTCGTTTGGAGCAAAAATCTTTTCGTGCGCGCGAGTTTTGTTTGGAGAAGCGCTCTTCAGGAACCTCGAGGAAATGTTCTGTTCTATTAAGACGTAGTCGATTGTCGATTCTGAGCCTTAGAGAGCAGGGACTTAATTGATGTGAGAGATCAGATGGACTGCTGAACATGAATTGCAGTGGTACGATGGCATAGTGAGGTAATCTCCAGGTACAAGTGGGTCAACAAGTTGAATATTCCGTAGGTACTCGGTTTTGTATTCGAGGGTTGCCTTTAGTGGATTGTGATATGCGCTATGGTACCGAGGATTGAAAATACACGAACGTTGATCTCATCGTGGAAGCCCGTAGAGACTTATGACTCGAAAAAGTAACAAAATTACCTTCTTTTCCTTTTCTAAAATTTTCTAAAAGAGAAGTGAATAAACACTTGTCTTTTTCGAATACTAATCAACAATAACTTGTGAATATTGTATGTAAAATTACAAATAGTAATTACAAACATTGAAAAGTTACACATGTTACTTTGTGCCAGCACTCAAATTATTTTCTGCATTAATTTCTGCGACGTGCCACTAAAGGCCGGCGATAATTGTGTTGCAGAAACGAAATCTTTGACATGACTAATTTACTCATTTCGAGAAGAAAGAAACGAGGTAGTTCTTATATTTAGTCGTCGTCATAGCCGCGCTTCCGGCTTGTTAACGTCGGGAGTAAGCCTGAAGTCCCGCTCTCCATTAGTATTCAGCCTTTTTGACACGTTAATAATGTCACGAGGCACACACATGCCACGACAAATTAGCCTAAAAGCTCTCCTCGTCAATATCGTAACTTTCTACCAACAAAGACGCTAATGTTCGTACCAGCGCTTTTCCTCCGTCTTGGAAATCTCCCCAAGTTATTAATCCCTTATCTCTACGGTCCGGAGTGTCTCGCTTTTATTTCGCGAGATGGTACGCTCTTCTCGGAAAAGTGGCATCTCCACTCGCCTTTCTTTCTTCGTCGTAGCTTTGGACGATTCTCGGCTATACGGCACGCGCATTTTAAAATTTACGATCGGTGCTCTCGCTCACGAGAATTCGCATGCCGTACAACACCACGGCCTTTATGTATTATTCGGTGCTTCAAGATTTACCATGAAATGCACGGGCGAATAGTGGAGCAATCCGAGTTGTTTGCGCACATAGTGACCGAACGGTGTTTGGATCAACAACGACGGTTATATAGAGCTTGCAAACCCTCAATGGTCATTACGGGTCACGAGAGAAGAGTTCCGATAGTTTGGATTTCACAACGTAAAATACTGTCGCGCTTGATTTTCCGGGAGTTTTAGTGATAATAAAAATATATATATCTGGATAGGGCAGTTCTGATCCCCCGGATATAAAACTCGACACTGCGTCCCAAGAGAAACAAATATTCATGAAAGAGCAAAGAGAAGGAAGAGTTCCAAAAACATAGAACACAGAAATATGTAAAGAAACGTAGTCTTGATTACAAAACATGACGATGTACACGTATACTTGTGATTCCGCGTCGAAAGATCCACGAAAAAGGAAACGGTGTTAAGTATGAGCCGATCAATTTCGCGCGCTATTTTTGCCGCGATCGATCGTGAGTGCCGTCGAACATGTCGCCGGAGCGACGAACGACGTCGCGTTTCTTCTTCTCTTTTTTTTTCTCGTTTCCCTTATCGAGTTATGCCCATCTTCTCGAGAGATTTCATTACCCTCGCCATGTGCTTCAACACGCGTCCTAGGTTCTGACTCCACCTTAGGTTCACTCATATAGTACATACGATATATATATATATATATATATATATAATGCAGAAATTTATATTTCTCGGCAGACTGTAAAATGCTTTTACAGTCTCGGGGGCAAGATCACGCGCGGGGCGGGGTTGACAATTTTCAGCAGGACTTTATTACATCCACGGTCGCATCCTGCATCGCCAGTATATCTCTCCTTGCGCTAAGTTCTATTTTCGTTGCGCCATATCGATCCCGCTCGCGCCGTTTGAAGTCGTACACCGTGCGTGGTCGGCCCGCGCGAATCTCTTTTGCAAACGGCGAAATTAAGCGTTAGGTGGAACGGGGAAAGAGAAGGTACGCTTATCCATCGCGCGATAGCAAGAAAAGCAACGAAAAAAGAAAATGGAAAGAAGAAAGAGAAGCGCTAATACACGGTGGGACGAGAGTGGAGGTGTATAAATCGGCACAGGTCATATTTTAAACGCACGTTTCACTTAATACGAAGCGTACGCAAATAAATCGTATAAGGCCGTATGTTGAACAAGCGAGATATGAAGATACATGATTTATCGATACGCATATAATCCTTTTAATATCCTTTTAATATCGAATTTTTCATTCGATATCCAAGTAACAAGAACGTATATCCTGAAAATTATTTTATCGATCATCTTCGCGATTATGGAATAACAAATTTATTTATTTTTCCTCCCACGATAATACCTTAGTGTATTCAGTTCTCGTGACAACTCTTCGCAATTGCTCGTGAAACACATTGCGAGAGCAGTGAATAAAAAGTACCAAATAAAACTATAAACTTATTTTTCCTCTCTTTCTTTTTGTGAAGTGAAAATGTTCCGCTTTGGAACGAGTGTGGCTCCAGATGTGTCGTAGTGACCGACGTGGAAATTAAATTTAAAAATCTCCAATGCAGTTGCGTCTGTCGTGCCCGTTGCGCGTCGCATACGCCGCCAGTAGTCGAGCTTGATCATTGGACCGACGGCTGCATTTAATGCTGAATAAACGTGCACGCCCCGGACGCGATTTATTATTACTTTTTCGGATAATTAGTTACATGTAACGTCTTAGTTAATGAGAGCTCAAATAAGAAGATTATCGTTATGACGTAGTATGTATGTATATATATATATATATATATATATATATATATATATATATATATATATATATATATGTTCATGAATAATATTAATGATGTATCTCTCTTCTGTATCGAAAAGCATTTAATGCAATGCATCGATGAGGTTAATACATTTTAATGAACTGTCGATTTAATGAAGCTCACGCATTTCTCCTGAAGCTTATCTCGTTGAAATTTTGAAATTCTTCCGTAATTGTGTTTTCTATCAAATTTCTGTTAAGGTAAAATTACCTTTAATTTCATCCAGGAATCTCTCTCTCTTCTCTTGGAATACCGTGCATAATCGCGAGAGAGAAGGTCGATAAATAAAATCATACAGAATAAAGATACAATTTGAAGAAGGAATGAAGAACTTCACGAGAAAATACAACAGTCGAATATTTACGCTTGGAAATGTTTCTTTCTCTCTCTCTCTTTCTCTCTTTTTGTCTTCCCTTTTTCTCTCGCTCTTTTTCATTCGCGAGGCTTCGTCGAGATCGTGAGATCGAGTGTTTTGTGTGCTCGTTCATGTAGAAATTCTGTCGAGCATTAAACATGAATAAGCCAATGTGCAATGCGACGGCACGCAAAGGTACCGGTTAAATAACTAAATGTTGAGTTCATCAATTGATAAATCAGTGAATCGATCGTCAGATTAATTATCGTCGCTAACAGAGTGCGGATGCGTGCTCGCAATGGCGCAACGACTATTCTCGCTTGCTGGAACGAAGTAATTAATTTCTAACTGGTAACAATGCTCGCGAACACGCCGGTGACGATACTACTCGTTATTAATTGAGAATCCAATCGAAAGTTGCATCGTGCGCGCGATTCAAGTTGGATCGCGGTGTAAGCCGGGGACAAGCGTTTCCACGTTTCCCCATTAAAATTCTTCGCGCTGCTTGAGCCATTCGCCATTCCTCAACGCGTCATAACATAACCGTCTCTGTCCGTCGACAGTTGAAATTCTATTTTTTCAGCGCGTTTCACTGGAACGCGCGCAACGCGAGTAGATGACTTTCGTCGTAGATATTTGTTCACGGTAGGACTATAACGATAAATAGTCAGCCTCAAAGGCACGAAGATGCGATGTAGACGATTCGCGGCTTTTGCCGCGTTTATTACTCTTTCATAAGACCCGTGCAGGACGACGTTATCTGTCAGAGAATTTACTGCTCGGCGATACCGTGAGCTTTTGTAAACTTGAAAGACTGAGTTCGAAAACTTCTGTTATGCTCACAGTAGTTCCAAGAGCTAATGGGAAGATGCGGTTGATTCGGTATGTTTTGTTTCCTTTTTTCAATTGTTGCGCGAATAAATCTGTGCTGAGATAACGGCGCTGGATTTGCACCGCGAGAAGGATAAACGATGGCAGATTTTGCCCAGCACATCAATATGATAACGAGATCGAGATATCAGGATCGAC